ATGCTTAGGTAATATGTTTTAGTAAACGATAAAAAAACTAATAATCAATCTCACAGTAATGAGGCAATAGTTAATCATAAATTTAATGCAATGGTCGTTGCACATAAAGTTGCTCTCACACTCTGCCGTGTAAGCCTACCGTCCACCTGCCGGGCTATTAAAAAAACAACAGAGTCCAGAACGTTGGGTTTGAGCGAACTTGTCCCCGGCCGCAAAAAAAATTCATAAAATTAATCTTTTCACCGTTTCGTTGCCATCTTCTGACCGTTCTCACCGGGCGCATACCGGGTGTTGAACGTGCTTCTACCGTCTTCCCCGCCCAGATTGACTTTCGTTGAAAATTTTGGCCGTTTCCATACCGGGCCCATACCGGGTCTCGAACGTGTGCACCGGGTTTGTAGCAGCCACCTACCAGTCAGTTAGCATCCCCTCACCGCTCGGAGCGTCCTGTGAGCGAGTCCCCGGACTGCTGACGTCATGACACGACTGCCATAAATACCCCGATTTGAACGGCAACGGTCAGTCCGCTCTCCATTTTTCATCACCGTTCTGTAACGGGTTATGAGCGTGTTGTGAACGTGTTCTTACAGTGTGACCGTTTTCATAACGTATTCATACCGTCCTCATACCGTTCAACACCGTCCTCTTGCCGCTTACTTGCGGCCGGTGCCAGCCGGCCAAAGTTTTGAACATGCCCAAAACTTTCACCGGGTCCGGGTGTAAATAAGCGCCAACGCCCTATTAACGTGTTGCCCGCTTTGATAACGAACCACCGTGTGCCCTCGCCGTTCTCCACCGTCCGCAGACATTTTCGCGCACGGTGGCACACGGTAGGCCTACACGGCAGAGTGTGAGAGTCACTTAAGGCGTAACTTGTCCGACGCAAGACAGCTTAAAGTTAAATGACAGGTTAGGTGTATGACGCGCCCTACGGTCTTAACATCGTGCAAACAATGACTTGAAAATTAACAGTGCCTGCAATTGCGATGAATTGTAAATTTAATAACTCATTATTCAAGCTGTGGTCAAGAATCAGAGCAGCGACCGACCGATTAGTAGCCTGCTCGATCGCCACTGGAATTTAGGCATCGCCCAACGATTTGTTGGAAAAGTCGAGCAGGCTGTATAGCCCCAGCGATGCCTGGGCGGTGCCCTGTCGATTTCCCGTCGGTCGCCAGTCAATTTTAGGTCAAAATACTGGGCGAAATCGGAGAGCTTCTCCGAGCGGCGTCCCGGCAGTGACCGCCCGATGACCCATCGATACCCGAGCGGTCTCCCACCGGCCACCGGCTAATTTTAAGGAATATGCCCGGCAGCCGGTCGGTGATCGGCGGGTCGCCAAAATACGCTCGGTGCCCGGGCGTTCGCCGCCCAGACACCAACCTAATCGAGCGTTCGCCGTCGAGCCCCTAGGTCAAAGGTTGCTGACCGATTTTGAACTCGCCGCCCAGAGACCGCTTGATCTCCCAGCGGTGACCGGGTGGCGAACGCTCAGCAGCCTTTGACTTAGCGGCTTCGATTTTCGACCTAAATCGCTCGACGGCGAACGCTCGATTAGGTCGGTGCCCGGGCGGCGACCGGCCGGGCATTGAGCATACTCTGGGCGGCGAGTGAAAATGAGCAGGCGCCGCCCGAATTTTAATTCTGCGCTACTTCAGCAGCGACCGAGCGATGCCCTAAAAAATAAGCGGTGCCCGAGCGAAATTAAAACTCGCCGCCCGGCCACCGAGCAGGCTACTTTTAGGTGATGTGACCATAGCTAAGCCTATTTGAGGGGTCCACAACAAGCATTGCTTTTTAGTGGACCCCTCTGTTTCCAATATGAATTCCTCAATTCTTGTAAAGATTATAATTGATTTGTAATAGTTTGTTGGAAACAGAAATAAAATTGAACTTTGAATTTTTTTAATTTTAATTCATCGTATGCGTGAATCGCCTTCACAGACTTGATTGACACAGGCGATAACACGATTGAAATGACGCTCAGTGTGCAACCGGTATACTGTTGGAAAGGACATGGTGTTGACGTATAATGTCTTTTCAGAAAGCTGTCGAACCATAATCCGATGTCCTTGTTGCTTTTTACTTGAGCGCATGCGAATTGGTCACCATTACGACTACAGACGAAAACGTCAATATGTGAGCGGGACTTATATTAATTGAATTTGATACTACACAAATAATGAATGCTTATGAGTTCAATAGTGCGAATATGTTCATGAGTTGAAATAATAAAATTCTATTCAACGAGGCGTCAGCTGAGTTGAATAGAATTTACGTTAATCTGTCAACAAATGGAAATATTGGCACTAATGAACGAATGAAAAACATTCATTATTTGTTTCATACAACATCGAAGTAGATCTAATAGAACGTTAATCTTTCAACAAATTATGCTTTGCTTCTTATGAAGGATAAATTAAAGTTGGAGTCGGGCCTTATCTTGATTACATTCAGATTGCCTCCACGTCAGATGCGCGCAGCTAATATAACAATGGGATACGCGCAGGGCAGAGAGATACGTATAGTCTGTATATAACCAAAATGCACGCCCGTGCAATAGTACATCTATTGAATATCATATGACTAACAATCCTGCAATCAAATGACAGGGATCTACTTAGGTGTTGTATACTACCATAGAATATTCCTTTTCATATCACTTTTACTTCCTACCTATCACGTATAGCTGCATGATATCACTCTCCTCAATTGCAAGTGACTTTCGACCAACTACGCAGGAATAGTTTCCAGCGTCGCTCTCCATGGCATCAGGTATGACGAGAGACGCTCCGTCAATTACCAAGTTCTTCCCACTAGTATGCTCCCCCTTGCTTGTTCGGGAATAGATTATTTTCTCATCTTTCTCCCAGTGAAGAAACTGAAGATCAGAGTCCAGGTTTGCAATCTGACAAGGGAGAGTTGCATTCTTCCCAAATGACGTCGCTATAACTGGATCTAAATAAACAAGAATATGCACATGACCCGTTGGATAATAGAGCAATAATAAAATAAGTGTATATTAAAACATAAAACTGTCGGGATTAAAGATAGTATAAATAATATAGAACCTCAATATTGTTTCTTCTGTGTGATCAAAATCAAAAACATAAGATAAATCAATATTGAACATATTTTTGACAGTATCAGATCTCTGTTTGTGGTAACACCTGTTACTGGAATAATGGTTTAACCTAAACTAGAGTTTACATTCAACAAGAATTTAGAATACAGGACTATCTTCTTATTTCATTCTAAAGAGTTACAAAAGCGTAATAGTAAACACAGCGATTCCGCATAATGGAGAGTTCAAGTCAAGTATATGCGTTAAATTAGCATGCACGTAATTTATTCTGTTATTGAAATTGTAGACACTATATAATTACCAGATGCATAAAAGTGATGAGCAAGAAAATTATTTTTTTAAAGATAGAACTGGTCGCATAACAAGCAATTTCAAAAACCAATACACACAAAAACAGGGACTGGTAGCCATGTTTTTGCCCAAATTTAACGGTTAATAACTAATTTTCAACTAGTTCATAATATTATTGAATATTCTGTTTCATTAACGTTTCATGATTTAATACAAACCATCTGCACGTTCATCGTAAATTGGTGAACATTTTATTTCATGTTTTCGTTGCTGCTGTCACACTATAAATACAAAATAATTAACAGTTTTTTGTCAATCTCTGGCCAGTAAGTTAGAGTTTGTCAAATTACCTTGTGATCCATAAGAACAATATACACTGGTCAAGAGAGAGACGGTGATCCATATATAACGGTAATCCATCTTAGGAGACAAACACCTGTAGACCAACAAGAAAGGGTTGAAGTGATTATGAACATTGAAAATCCTAAACCCCTCCAAGATAATACATATATATATATATATATATACATAGAAGGTGAAGGATGAAGTGAAGTAACATAGCAATGGTGAATTATAGGACGATGCGTAGTGAGAGCGGTAGTAGCAGGAGCACTAGAGGTATTTATAATATTATTAGTAGTAACAGTATAGGCAGTAGAAATAGTAGTAGTAGTAGTATTTATTATTATTATTAACACAAATCGGGGCTCCATTTCGAAGTGTTGTTGAGGTATTCTACTGAGACGCTCGCGACTTGTGAAATATAGGCTAGATCTAGAACTTAAAATTCGCGGGTCGAATTTATATCCAATCGAGACTTTATATCGTTGGTAGATCACAAACGAAAGTGAGACGAAGGTTGGAAAGAAAGTGGAGAAGGTGTAAATCCAGCGAGGAAGGCAAACTTCAACATAAGAGATACCAAGAGCAATGCCGAAGTGTTGTTAAGCTCATAAAGGATGCAAAAAGACAGTTCTATTTATCTGCGGTTGAGAGCTGTACTTCAGATCAGAAAGCTTTGTTCACCATCATTGATGAGCTCCTTCAGAAGAAAGGAGATCCTATATTACCATAAAGTCCATCTGAGGGGTTATTAGCCAACAGATTCTCAGAGCATTTCATGAGCAAGATTAACACGATTCGCGATTCGTTGGTGCAGTTTCTGGAGATCGGTGAAAAGCCTACACCTGGAGCACCGTATATGGCCAGCTTCCATGTAGCATCCGAGGATGAAGTCGAGAAACTCATCAAACGATCGCCGTCAAGCTCTTGTCAACAAGACCCTATTCCAACATGGCTGATCAAGGAACATGTTCGTGCATTTGTGCCATTCATTACGAAGTTGGTTAACAGGTCTTTTACTCTAGCTGTTTTTCCGGAGAACTTGAAGCATGCCACCATCAGGCCCTTACTAAAGAAGCCTAACCTGGATAAGGAGAGACTGGAAAACTAACTTAAAGCTAACTTGAAATTCATAGGAAAAGTGGTCGAGAGAGCAGTTACTGCACGCATTCTTAGATGTGTAGCTGACCAGTCTCTTCAGGATCCTTTCCAATCAGCCTATAGAAAGAACCATTCAGTGGAGACAGCCGTCTTGCGAGTGAGTAATGGCGTCTTACGGGCCATGGATAGGGGCATGCTGACAGGACTAGTTCTACTGGATTTGAGCTCAGCGTTTGACACGGTAGATCATCGTGTCTTACTACAGAGACTACAAGAAGTTGGTATAGGAGGTTCGGATTTGAGTTGGTGTCAATCATACCTTGATGGTCGCACTCAGGCTGTTCGCATTGGTGAGAATGACTTCTCGGACCCAGTTTCTCTAAACTGTTCTGTGCCTCAGGGTTCAGTGCTCGGTCCGCAACTGTTTTTTTTGTACATTTTACCGATTTGTGACATTATCAACAGGCATAATTTCATGTATCACATATACGCTGATGATATTCAGCTGTATATGTCGTGCCTGCCTAATCAAACTGATGTGGACAACACCCTTGCCAGATTTGAGTCATGCATAACAGAGATCTCCAAATGGATGGGGCAGAACTACTTAAGAATTAATCAGGCGAAGACCGAATTTATCTTCTTCGGTTCTTCTCAACAGATGAAGAAGGTCATTGTTCCCCATCTCACAGTTGGTGAGGCACGTGTAAGTCCGGCTTCCAAAGTACGCTCACTAGGTCTAACACTGGATTCCAACATGTCAATGGAACCCCAAATCTCTAGCTGCATCCGATCAGCATGTTATCACATCAGGCACATTCGTCGAATCCGGGATTATCTGACTCCACATGCCACGAAGCAGGCAGTCCATGCACTCGTCACGTCACGATTGGACATGTACAATAGTACCCTGAATGGACTGCCCGACACTCTCATCAAACGACTGCAGAAGGTCCAAAATTCTGCGGCTCGGCTTGTCACCCGATCAAAGCTATCTGATCATATAACCCCCGTTCTCGAGGATCTGCACTGGCTGCCTGTGAGGCAAAGACTCGAGTACAAGGTACTTTCCCTGGTTTTTAAAACCAAAACCAACCAGACACACTGGCGTACCTATGGGGGGGGGCAGGGGGGCAGAGTGCCCCCTGACGGGCTCCAGGAGAAAAAAAGGAAAAGGGGAAAGAAAAAAAAGAAAGGAAAAGGAAAGAAAAAGAAAAAAGGAAAAGGGAAGAAAAAAGGAAAGAAAGAGAAAAAAAAAAAAAAAGAAAGAAAAAAGGAAGAAGAAGAGAAAAGGAAGAAAAAGGGGGAAAAAAAAGGAAAGGAATAAAAATGGGGAAATTAAAAAAAAAAAAAGACCATGGCCGTACGCACCAGGGGGGGGGGGGGCAGTTGACCCCAGATATTTTGAAAACGTACAGTTTTTTTTCCTGAAAATGTAGTGTAGGCCTATACCAAATCCTTCAATTCTACTTTTGAAAATGCAAAAGTACCCTCATGACCAGTTCGGTCGCTCGAACTCCCTTCACTCCTTTTGCTTTCCCCCTCCCCCACCAGAAAATTATTCCGCATACGGCCCTGAAAAATTAAAACAAATGAAAATAGGAAAATATAAGTGATATAACAAATTTAAAACTCTTCGCTGGCGCGAACTGCTTGCTAGCCTATTTTGTATTAAATGTTTTCACTTGCTCGTCCCCCTGAAAAAAGAAAAGGATTAGTATTGCCTAGAATACAATTGTGCCTGCCCCGACGGGCCCCGACCTGCAACCATGGCAACAATAACACACAATATATGTACCAAATGTTACTAAAAGAGACTAATTCATTTTTCTCGCTCGCTACACTCGCTCACGAATAAAATGAATAGACATTGCTTTGGAAACAATTGTGCCCACCCTTGACCTGCAACAATATCATTAAAAATGGAAGAGTGTTTTCGCCCTCTCGCCAAAAAGGAATTGAATCGCGTTAAACGCGATTGCGTCCATCCTGACCTGCACCAATAAAAACAAGTTTATTTATTAATTTCTATTAAAAGATAATTTATTTGTTTTGCTTGCTCGCTATGCTCGCTCGCCAAAATGGAATTGACACCGCTATAACGTGCCCGCCCCAACCTGCAATAACCAGTTAATAATTATGTACCAAACGTTATTCAAAGAAGTTTTGGTGTGCTCGTGCTCGCCAAAATGGAATTAACATCACCTTAGACATGATTGTGTAAGCCCTGCCCTGCACCAAAAAAATCTGAAATTTATGAACCAATTATAATTACAAGTTTTTTTGCTCGCTCGCCAAAATAGAAATAACACCGCTTTTAATAATCACGTCCCTGACATGGAACAATGAACCCAAGATTATATACCATATTTTCCCTATAAAAGAGAAGTGATTTTTTTTGCTCGCTCGCTACGCTCGCTCGCCAAAATAGAAATAACACCGCTTTTAATTATCACGTCCCTGACATGGAACAATGAACCCAAGTTTTATGTACCATATTTTCCCTATAAAAGAGAAGTGATTTTTTTTTTGCTCGCTCGCTCGCCAAAATAGAAATAACACCGCTTTTAATAATCACGTCCCTGACATGGAACAATGAACCCAAGTTTTATGTACCATATTTTCCCTATAAAAGAAAAGTTTTTTTTTTTTTCGCTCGCTACGCTCGCTAGCTCGTGGAATTATGTGCCCACCACTAACTTGCTACAATATCATTAAAAAGAGAAATGTAGGGGGTTGCCTGCCCGCCAATATGGGATTGACATTACCTTAAACACGATTGTGCCCGCCCCCTACCTGCGACAATGAAACAAATTTTATATAGCAATTCATTGAGAGAAAGATGTATTTTCGCTTGCTAGCTAAAATGGGTATAAAATCACCCTAAACACAATATTGTTCCCGCGCCCTGCATGGGACAATTGAACCAAGTTTAAGTGGCAATTATTAAAAAAGAAGTGATTTTTTTTTTCTTGCTCGCTACACTCGTATGCAAAAAAATGAAATTAACGTCGCTAACAAGTGAATGTTCCCACCCCCAACTTGCAACAATACCAGTTTATATACCAAACGTTACTTAAAGATTTTTTTTTTGCTCGCTCGCTCGCCAGAAGTGAAAATTAGCATCGCCTTTTTTTGTTTGTTTCGGTCGCTTGCCCCCCCCCCCCCCTGACGGAGTACCCCAGGTACGCCACTGACCAGACACCATTATACTTGTCAGATCTACTGGAGGAGAAGAGATCCTCTAGACTTGGTCTACGTTCAGGAAATGTCCACCAGTTTCAGGAAGCTCGAACAAGGCGGTTTTGGGGCGACAGGTCCTTCTCTGTAGCAGCCCCGCGTTTGTGGAATGCACTCCCTTCATACATTAAACTAAGTAAAACAATTGTACTATTCCACAAGCATCTAAAGACCTACCTTATGAAGGAAAAATATGATTAACTCACATGAACATTTCAATGTCTTACTGAATCTGTAATTTGCATTTGTTTTTTAATTGTTGATTTATTATTAGTTTGTTAATTTCAATTTGATTATTGTTTGTATATGAAATGTTAAAAGTGAACCTTTATTGTGCGCCTTGAGTGCCATTATAGGCAGATATGTGCGCTATACACATCTTAAATTATTATTATTATTAGTAGTAGTAGTAGTAGTAGTAGTAGTAGTAGTAGTAGTAGTATAGGTAGTAGTACTAGCAGAAATAGTAGTAGAAGTGTAGTAGAGGTAGTAGTAGTAGTAGTAGTAGTAGTAGTAGTAGTAGTAGTATGGTAGATGTGGTAGTGGTAGCAGTAGTAGTAGTAGTAGTAGTAGTAGCAGAATACTAGTACCAGTAGTATAGTAGTAGTAGTAGAAGAAATCGGCTGTATTAACGTGTGTGCCAGGCGCGGATCCAGGGGGGGGGCGAGCGGGCCTTGCCCCCCCCCCCCCATTAGAATATAAGAGAGAAGGAAGGAAATGAAAAGAAAAATGAAAAATAGGAACTAAAGGGGAGGAAAAAAGAGTAAAAAGAAAAGAAAAAAAGGGGGATATCAGTTGCGATTTTCCGGCAAAAGGCCGTTGCCTTACCCCCCCCCCTCCAATTCCCGCCCCCTTAAAGGGGGAAGCAAGGGAAAGGGAAAAAGGGACATAAAAGGGAACAAAAAAAAAGGAAGAAGAAAAGAAAAGGGTGAAAAGAAGGGGAGAACAGTTGCGATTAATCACCGCCAACAACGTGTGGATCGGGGGGGGGGGCGAAAGGCCCTTGCTTCATCCAAGCAAACCTAAAACAGAGAGAAGGAAGGAAAAGGAAAGGAAAAGAGAAAAAAAGAGAAAAAAAGAGAAAAAAGAAAGGTAGGGGAGATCAGTTACAAGGTGTAGATCGGGAGAGGGGCACTGGCGAACTGATGGGGTGAGGGGGCTTGGATGGCCCCAATATTATTCAAACCTGCTTTATTTCTTATTCGATACCGGTGATTTACAAATGTTGCTGAAATGACATAATTTTCCGAGATTTGTCCTCAATGTTTAGTTAAAGATACTTTTTTCATGCGTTTCTGGAAAATGGCAAATTCATGAAGAAAGAAAGAAAGAATAGTGACCTGCCTATGTCACAAAATAATAAGGTGTCAAAATTTGCTTGTCTGACCGTGATTAAATGCCTGAAACCCCTGAGCTTCCAGGGTGTCTGCCTCCTCGATTCTATCTAGGGTCCTACGGCGGGAACCTGGATGCTCATATGACGGTAATTTAATGTATACAAACAATGAGCTTCCGGGGGCTCCGCCCCCTGGACCCTAGGCCAATTCGTGACCTGTCAGTGTCACAAATAAGGTATCAAAATATTTTCATCTGACCGTAATTAAATGCCTAAAACCCCTGAGCTTCCGGGACTTCGCCCCCTCGACCCCACCAGAGACCCTAAGGCGGGCCCCTGCATGCTTATCTGACCGTTATAAAATGCCTAAAACCCCTGAGCTTCTGGGGGCTCCGCCCCGTGGACCCCACGAAAATTAGTGATCTGCCAGTGTCACAAATAAGGTATCAAAACATGCTCATCTGCCCGTAATTTATTGCCCAAAACCCCTGATTTTCCGGGGGCTCCGCCCCCTGGACCCCACACCGATTCGTGATCTGTCAGTGTCACAAATAAGGTTTCAAAATATGCTTATCTGACGGTAATTTAATGAATAAAAACCATGAGCTTCCGGGAACTCCGCCCCCTGGACCCTAGGCCAATTCGTGACCTGTCATTGTCACAAATAAGGTATCAAAATATGTTCATCTGACCGTAATTAAATGCCTAGAACCACTGAGCATCCGGGGCTTTTTGCATACCCCTCTCCCCGTCCCCAAACGTTTTTCTCATTTCGCCACTGCCGGTGTCACCATTACGTTCCAATATTTGGCTCGCATAATTTCAAATGTGGTCCCCCCCCCCCCAAAGAAATCCTGGACCCGCGCCTGGCATCTGTCTACATCAATAACCCACGTTCTTGTAATAGCCAAAATGCAGCATGAAACGTACGACCTTTCGGTATAAGGGTCTGAAAATCAGACTATTTACTTAAGTGATTGCAATCACTTAAGTCAATTTGATAACTAATGTTCGTTATTTTACCACAAAAATCCATTTCCAAGCCCTTACGTTTTGAGGGAAGTTCTTAATTAGTATTGTCTTTCAAATGTCGTTAGAATTTAACCTTAACATTTTTGTTGGCCTGCAAATGAGACATAGTACTTTTAAAGGGCACTTGCCTGTGTGATGAAAGACATTGGCATTGAAAGTCATTGAAAGTGAAGAAGAGGAGTAACCCCTTAGGTATTTTCTAAGGGTGGGTAAGGGGGATCTCAGTGGCGTAGTTGTCGACGTGTAAAAGTAGGATGTCCGGGGTATTGGTCGATAGAGTATCCGTTACTGTCCGCAGGAGATATGCCACGTGTGGTATTCCTGATTATGAAATACGCTTTCTTCTTGTCGATTGAAAACTGCACCTAAACCGCAGCCCCCCCCCCCCCCCTGTCCCACGTCCCATGATTCAAATTCAAATTCAATTAATATTTATCGAAAATAAAAACCTGACATACAGTATAGAAAGTATAGTATAGAAAGGATTGTTATAATAATAAACAAACAAATTAATAAACTAACAAAACGGAACAAAGAAAAACAAAATAGAGAACCCGTTTCCCTGACGCTAAACCATCTAATCATTATAAGCATATGGGCATATAGTATGTGCAAGATAAAAACATATGTCATATGAATGATATTATTATGATAACTTGATATAAAAAAATAAAAAAACTAACCTCGTTTGTATAAGTCAGATTTACGAATTATCCCGCTATATATAGCCAAATACACTAAAAATAACCTTATTATGTACATCATTCTCTCTCTCTAAGTGCCATTTCGTTTGACTTTGGCGATCACGCTGTTCCACAACCCTCGGCTCCTAGCCTTCTGTATTAGTACCACTCCCAGTTCTTTCACTCCTCTCTCTTCCAACAATTTCTGCAGACTGTCCATCCACAGTATCCTCCTCCTTCTTCCCACAATTTTCCCTGTCAAAGCAAGATTCTCTACGCCTTCTTTACGTATAATGCGACCCATGAACTTCAACTGCCTAATTAACATCTCACGTATCATTTTCTTTGCACTCCAGCTCGAGTAAGAACTTCCTCATTGCTAACTTTGTCAGTCCAGGGGACTTTCATCATTCTTCTTAAAAACTACAACTTTCACAACTTTCCAAACGCTTTTTAGTATCAGAATGAGGCTAAACTCCATGTTTCACTACCATAGATAAGTACTGGGTAGATGTAAAAAATCAATACTCTTATTCTTGTCCTCATACACATTGTTCGATTTGTCAAAATTTTGCCTAACTCTGAAAATGCAGATTTAGCTGTCTCACATCTGGCATCCTCCGTGATCATGCTGCCAAGATAGTTAAATGAGGAGACTTGTTTAATAATCTGTTCTTTCAGTTTCAAGTAACATTTTGGACTGCTCTTCTTGGATACCACCAGGTACTTTGTCTTGGTATAGTTGATCTCTAGTCCCACTCTCACTTTCTTTTACAACTACACTCAGGAGTCTCTGGAGATCTTTCTCTGATTCAGAAAATAAAACAGTGTCATCAGCATATCTAATATTTGTGATTGAATGGCCACGTATAAGGAAAATCTCAATATTTCCCGTTAAAAACAATACAACTAAACTTACCTTCTGGGAGTCCATGTCCGACTGTTTCATGTTTGGAGGTTTACAAAAAACTGTCAAGAGTGCAACAGGCAACGGCTGGAGGTACGCACTCACCATCAAAATGGAGATTCTACACATTTACTTGAATAGTCTGTAAACACAGACTTTGTTCTGTGACAAATAATGGCAGGTACTTTTCGTGTTTTTCCTATTCAGGTCGTTAATGAAAAAGAGGGGCCTGGGTAAAATGAATAACATCAATAATCGTAATGGATACGAAACCAGCAGAGAAACTTGAGATCGGGTAAAACCTACTTTTTAAAAGTACATTATATTAGAAAAGTACATTAGGCTTGTATAGACAATAGTATACAATGTCATCTTACCCAAAAGGTTGATTTGCTTGAGCCCCTGAATAAAACAAGACTGCTAGACAAAAGAAACTGTGCGCAATGCTATTAAACTTAATGGTAAGTGAAATGATTTCGGAATAGTCATATTGTTTCAAGAGAAACAATTAGTTGTCTACTTCAGATGGCACGTTCACCAGAGTTGTGTTTCAAAGACTACTTAATGTTTTATAAATAGATGTGGAAAATATCCACGCTACCATGGCGGGTTATTATTGAGTCGCTTCCGAGTATTCACGCCATAGGAGTTATAAATATTGCTACTGTAGGGCCCTTCCATTTAATTTCTTTTGGTGGTATATACTGATATACAGTCTGGCACAGATCATGTCCGTATGGTAATATTTTCCCTCTCCCTTGTTGTATTGATAGGATGGCCCATGAAAGACCGAGAGCTTAATTACGGAAGAGATCCCCTTTTTTTACAGAGGTAATATTAATATTTTGCAAATATTTGTAAATTGTAATATGCAGTAAACTAATATGAATTATAACTTGGTGTACAAAACTTACCCCGTGTTTTATATATTTTGTTTGCAGACGTCAGATCTATGGATGATCCCGTCATATATAATCAAGTGCACAGTATTCACATTTACAAAGTCTACATCAATCAATATAAATTCCGAGTTGAAAACACGATGCAGTGTACATGTACTCACGAACCGTATAATCCTAACACACATGAATAGTCTGTAAACGAAGATTTTGTACCGTGTCAAATAATGGCGGATACTTTTCTTTTCACTCGTGGCAGAAATTGTCTGTCTCCCTCATTCTCTCCCTCTCCCTCTCTCTCAGTCTCTCTCTCTCTCTCTCTCCCTCTCTCTCTCTCTCTCTTGTCGCCATTTCAATAGAGGCACGTTCCCCGTCGCCCACATATTAGGGACTTTTATATTTGCACGTCGACATAGTGGACTACTACGTCCAGGCGTAGATCCAGGATTTCTTTAATAGGGGTAGGCCCAAATATAAAATCAATTTGAAATTTAGTGTGCTGACATTTTAAAAATCATACCGGCCGGTGTTCCGCTCAGTGGGGAGGGGGGGGGGGGTGAATCCCCCCCCCTCCCCCCTCCTTGAACAAAAAAAAAAGGTAATTTCGGGTAACAATTGTCTTTGTGTACCTTTTGAGGGGCCAATTGAAGGCTCGCTCGCCCCCCCCCCCCCCGCGCGGTCCGCACCTGGCTACGTGTGACGTCCTTTTAACAGTGCCTTAAAGGACGTCACACATAACAGTCCACTATGTCGACTTACAAATTTAGAAGTCCCTAATATCCGGCCTACATAACATGAAAGGAATGGGTTTGTTTTGAGAAAAAGATACATTTTCGGTTTTATTAAAAATTAGTTCTACGCTGTTGGTACTTGCACTGCCGATTAAGCTGTGTCTTTCACAAACTGGTATTCATGAGGAAATCCATAATACCAAAGTTAAATCCCTTTTGAATCAGTAGTAATTTTAACAAAACAAAAAGTCAACTATATGGTTTAGCAAATTGCAATAAGCTTCATATAGGGGAATTAAAATTGAATCATAAACGTAGCTGTGTGATCATGCGATAATGTTGTAGGGCTGTATATTGTACTCCGAATTAACCTTTGAAGTTCACTTTGTTTTCCTAAAAGTTGTAAGTTCAATGGTTGCTATCATTAGCCTCGTTAATTTCTATAGACTCTGTGTCCCTATTCACCACCAAGAATGTTCTTCTTTTCATGTTCACATCCCACCGCTGCCGCACTCAGACATTTACTTTCTTTGTCCACTCTAAAGCAGGGCTCCCACTTAGCCGAGTTGGAACCTCGAGTTGTGGCGAGTTTGCGCGATCTTATGGAAAGCCGTTTTATTATTAATTGATATCAAGAATTCAATTCTTGTTATCAAGAAATAATTTTATGTTGAAAAGCAATGGTACTTCTTGATATCAAGAATTCAATTCCTAATATCACGAAATCGAATTCTTGATATCACGAATTCAATTATTGATATCAAGAATTACCGATGCTTTACAACGTAAAATTATTTCTTGATATCAAGAAATATTTTTTTAATGATAAAACGGCTTGCCATAAGCTTGCGCCAGCTCGCCACAACTCGAGGCTCCAACTCGGCTAAGTGGGAGCCCTGCTTAATACAAGAAACCCCTTTCCCTCCTCTCCTGTCACCTCACCACTCTTCCAGCCATAACGGTCACATGACACACCACCGTGCACTCTCTCTTTTGCTTGGCCCACTTCCTTTGCATATTTAGTGTGTAGTCACATGACTCACTTCCTTTTTAAATATTAATGACGATGTTACTGCTATACTTAGTTGCTTAGTTCAACTTCAAACATATGCATGCATGTTGGAAAGAGCAGAGAATAAACTTAGAGCTTCTGAGCAAAGAGGCATTCTGAACCAGAGGTACCAAACAGTAAACATTGCCTCCTCGCTTCCTCCTTTCTGTTGTGGAAAAGAACACATGCAGGCTCACACAAAACTGAGCCCCACAATGCTATCAAATTCACCACGATCCCACAACAAATAGAAATTACTATAAGGTTGTGCAGCCGGATTAAAATTACAAAAACATAATATAATTGTAACACAATAAATTGTAATCATATAATACGATTCCAGTTCATACACAAGTCATGTGCATTATAATGGTGATTATATAAAGAATCCCGTCACAGACGTTAATATCATATAACACAAAAAGTCATGTGACATTTCCAAATGTGAAACGTATATGAATTTATTACAATATCAAGTATGATGGCGAGCCCTATGTCTGCATGAGCACCGAAAATTAGACTTGAAATCGAAAGGAATTGTCTTCTATATTCCCCTATAGTACATGCATATTATTCCTCTTCTCTTAAGAGTAAGAATGCGATTAACATTGAGACAATTAAAGCAAATTCGATATTACTTTCACAAGAAAAGGCGACTGTGTCGTTGTATGCGCACTCATTAATTTTACATCGAGATTTGGTATTTTTGATGTGAAAGATAGCATGTCGATGCTTGTGAATAAAATTACTGAAATATAAGACTTTTCTCTATAGTTTTGACTAGTTTTTACAGGAATAGTTAAAAAAAAAAATAGGGAAAAAAGGTATTATGCGTGACGTTACAATAAAAAAACCGCATATGCCTGAACTATGCGCTTTCCCAATGACAATGACAATGACAATTTATTCTCATGTCACCCACATTGGGGTATTGGAGAAGTTTACAATCAGTTTGAATTTGTCAATTAAACACTGTGAAATATACAATACAAATAGAATTAATGTTAATCCATACAAAATAACACTATCGACAATAGTGAGACAAATTATGATGATAATGATAACAATAATGATGATGATAATAATAATAATAATCAAAAACAAAACGATAATATTAATTAAAACGATAATTAATGACGAAATTAATGGAAGCAATTGAAAAAGAAATTTACTGGCACCAGTAAATTGATATCTGAATTAATGAATTACTGAAAATATATTTGATATCAATTTAATAAATTGATATAAGACAAAAAAGAGAAACATAAAGTTAATATTGAACTCATAACATGTTTTTGGACATACTTAAATTAATGAAAACGAAGCATTATTATTCGACAGAATTTTACTAAGTTTAAACGTGTTTGAACATTATTGGAGTTAAAAAGCTGATCCATTTTCAGTGTATTTGGTCTTTCAATGAAATATTTATCGATGAACAATTTTCTTTCTGAACGAAAGGTAGGGCATACAAACAAGTAATGAAACTCATCCCCAAGCGATTGCAAATTGCACAGCGTACATAGCCTCATTTCCCTTGGAGTATTTGAATATCTACCAGCTACAATCGGCAGGTAATGATTGCCACAGCGAAAACGACTTAATATTGTCCGATCTCTTTTAATGAGATCGATTAAGTATCTTTCTAAACATAAAGAATGTTTGAAGATTCGATAGTTAACACAATGCGAATTATCATACATACAAGCAGACCAATACTGAGCATGAGAATCTCTCAATCGACGTTCCACAGTTTGTTTGACCCACTCATAGCTAGTATTTTCACAAATTTCCCATAAATTAGACATCCCCATATTGTCCAGAGTCAGCTTGATTTTTTTTAACCAAGGTGCCTGATATATATTCTTCTCAAAGAGTAATTTTAAGATAATATACACCTTACCAGAAAATTTATCCTGTCCACTATGTACAATCCTACACCAGAAGTTTATCATTCTGCTTTCGATATATGTCTCAAGTTTAAGCCTCCCCAATTCACCAAGTACCATACAATTTGCAGTTGTTTTGTTGACAGAAAGGGCTTGCTTACAAAATTTCATGTGGAAAATTTCAAGATCATGTAGCACTTCAAATCCCCATATCTCACTTCCATAGAGCAGAATGGGCAACACAAGTTGATCAAATAATTCCAAGAGGATATCAATAGGTAAGTGCAGTTGATAAGTTTTAGATAATAGACTATACATTGCTCGTCTAGCTTGATTAAGTTGCTTAATTTGAGCTTTACGAAATTTGTTGTTGTAGTTAAAAGTAGTTCCAAGATAGACGTATTCATCAACAACTTCTACAATATCATGATCAAATTTAAATATAGGAGTTTTTCGAACTTTACCACGAGAAAATACAACAACTTTGGTTTTAGCTGTGTTAACTTGAAGAAACCATTTTTTACAGTAATCAGATACTGCATCAAGAGCAAGCTGAAGTTCACTTTCAGTTTTTGCAAGAACTATTGTATCGTCTGCATACAGCAATGTAAAAAGCCTGAGATATACATCTATACCTTTTTGATACGCAGCTGCATCAATCTTGTCAGGAAGAATATTTATGCCTCCAAACTTTTCACAAATGAATTGTTTGAAGTCATTTAAAAAAAGGGCAAATAGCATCGGAGACAAATTTTCTCCTTGTCGCACACCAATGTTACAATCAAATGAAGAAGACTTTTCTGTACCAGAAATTACACATGACTTAGCCTGAGCATACATATGCTTAATTACATTGAAAAACTTTCCATCAACATTATTCTTAAGTAATTTATTCCAAAGAGAACTCCTGTCAACCAAATCAAATGCCTTCTTGTAGTCAATAGATGCACAATAAACCCTCTCTTTTGAAGAGAGATATAAATCGATCACTGAATGAAGAACAAAAATGTGATCAAGCGTTGAATGACCATTTCGAAAACCAGCCTGTTCATCACCTAGCAATTCATTATCTTCGAGATAAGACGTAAGTCGCTCATTCAAGACTGCTGTAAACAGCTTGCCAAGACAATTAAGCAATGTTATTCCTCTATAGTTGTTCGGATCATTAGGATTTCCTTTCTTCTTATAAAGAGGGTGAATTAACCCTATTGTCCA